TACCTAGTTCCGACACTCCCCAACTATGTTTGATAGCTGAAAACATCGAAACTTCACGAGTGCAAGCTATTCCATTGAAACTAGCATATATGTTTTTTTCAAAAGAGCAACCCACCCCACCCCACCACACCAAGTCCAGTGCACGAGGACGTGTGCCCAAATCATTTTGCTCTCACCCCAAATGAATTGCAACTGAATTGTTGGTTAGGTGGGAAAGTGATGCCTTTTAATAAGTGTTTTAAAAAACGAATCGGTACCAAGGATCAAGCGCTCCAAAAATCTATCCGGATTGGTGAATCGACGATTCGGATAAAGAATCGTCCGATTCGGCTGGATTAAGCTTTAAAAAAATCCAAAAAAATTATTAAAATTCATTATAAATGTTGTTTTTTAAGAATCCAATAAGAAACGAGGGTACTACATTGTTAACTTTCATTTTTTTCATCAATTTGTGAATATTGAGACGTTATTTCCCTGTATAAACTTATGTTAACCATTAAATTTACATCACACAAAAGAAAACTCATAGAATTATCATGAATAAAGTATATCAATCATACATAGACTACAATAAAGAGTAGACTAAATCGATAAAACAATGGCCACTAAAATCTCGAATTGACGTAAAATCTTAATCCGTTAAAAAAACCCAAATTATTACAAACTAACTATAATCCAAAATTATTACAACCTAACTAACTATAATTATTTTATTATACAAACAATGACAAATCCAAAATATTTTATAATATCATCTAATTTAAAATGTATTTTTGACAACTGTAAAAAAAATAGTACATTACATGTTTTATAATGCAAAAATTAATATATAAAATAAAAATTTGGTTATCAATATAGAAATTATTTGAATGCGTATCAATTTTCGAAATAACAATTCAATTTTTCAAAATTTTAATTTTTTAGATTCTAAAATAAATTTAGTAAAAAATATTATTAACAAAAAGATAGAATTTCAAATGGAATAATTTTTTTTTTTTAACAACATTATTTTCTGCTTATTTTTTTATTTTTTTTACAACAAAAATAGTATATAAAATTATTTATAATGCAAAATTTAATATATAAAATAAAAATTTGGTTATCAATATAAAAATTATTTGAATGTGTACTAATTTTCGAAACAGCAATTTAATTTTTCAAAATTTTAATTTTTTAGATTTTATAATAAATTTATTAAAAAAGATTGTTAATAGAAAGAGAGAATTTTTTTGGCTTATTTTTTATTTTTTTTTACAACAAAAATAAAATAATATAGCACGCTTGAGCTGCAGTTCAAACTTGAGATGCCCTTCAACTAAGAGGAAGCGACAACCATAAAGCCACGCCGTGGCAAGTGTATTAATTTTCCATATATGTGATACTTATTCATCATCTATTTTAATTTAATGCACCTTGTGGGAATTATCCCACATCAAAAAATGAGTATTAAATAGTTTCATTGTACCTAAGGTCATGTAACGGGTTCTCTCGGGTTTATAACATCGAACGGGGCGATTCCTGGTTTTGCAAAGCAATTGGCACGGGATTTCTCAGTTTTGCAAAGTAATCAGCATGAGGGCAAAGTAATCGATAATCGGCACAACAGTTCCCGGATTTGCAAAGCAATCGGCACGGGGGCAAAGTAATCGGCACGGCAGTTCCCGGTTTCGCAAAGTAATCGATACGGGGATACTGATTCCGTTGCACAGTTCTCGGTTTTCCAAAGTAATCGGCACGGCAGTTCCCGGTTTTGCAAAGTAATTCGCACGGGGATATTGATTCCCGGTTTTGCAAAGTAATTCGCACGGGGATACTGATTCCGTTGCAAAGTATCAACAAAGATTCATGGCTCGCACGTGATGAACTTCAAAAAAATTATAATAAAAAGCTCATCAGCCCTAAAAATTAGGGTTTCCAGCCCAAT